GCCCACTAGTGGGCGGTAGGGACCAGGTTGACTATCACGGATCTAAATTCATCTATTTTTCCTATAAGAATCAAGTTATATATTGGATTGGAAAATTATTTTTCCCAATTAACCAAGAAATCATAAGATTTGATTTTATATTATTACCACTAGTTATATTTTTATATTGAATCTTTTCTAGGCATATAGATATGTTTTACATCTCTACAATAAATTGTAATTTGTAATTCAGTACTAAAAGGTTGAAATCAGAGAGATTACACCTTATGAAATAAACCTAGTTTGGGGTAATGGTTAAAAGAACCAGGCTAGAATCTGAAGACTGTAAGTTCTAGCCCCACTTTAGGCATGAATGCAACTGGGTGACCATGGTTGAGTACTGCATCTATGGAAATTTTCAAACCAAGTTAGACTTCCATGAGTCTGAGATATTGCAGGATTCCTTCTATGGCAGGAAGTTGAATTATTCGAGCTCTACAGATCTTCATAGTAGTAAATATTAAGTTGCATAGAAAAATCAAATGTTCATTATTACATAAAACAGTCACATAAGATGGATGAGACTGAAGTTTAGAATTATAATTTATAATGCCTGTACTACCTTTCTGGCTGTCAAAGGCTTCTTGCATTTTTTCAGTTATGTATTTGGGAAGAGGAGTAGCTACTAATATTCTGTTATTAATAACAGTAAACTAAAAAAGCTTTGCATCAGGATTCAGTATTACATTTTCAGCACCTTATGTCCTACAATAGCAATAGCATTTAGACTTATATACCACTTTACAGTGCTTTACAGCCCTCTCTAGGCAGTTTAAAGTCAGCATATTGCCCCCAACCATTTGGGTCCTCATTTTACCCCCCTCGGAAGGATAGGGCAATGAAATTAATAAAATATATGTTCTGGAATTCCATTTTGTAAAAAAAGTGTCACAAATACCATGTTCATATGGTGAGAACGTTCCAGCATCGATGTTAATGTAGGGGTCTATTTTGATTGCAGTTACTCGGAGGCCACATGATTTCAGGATGGTACCTATGCTGCTTGCAATAATTCCTTTGCCAATACCCGAAATGACACCACCAGTTACCAGGATATATTTCATGGGGAAATTATGAATATGCTGTATCACTTGAGCTGGAATCCTAAAAATGAAAAGGTTAGATACATATATCTTTATTCACACAGGAAATAACTATCATAGCATATAATATGCATTTAGCATACTATGACTACAATTAAGAATTAATTTAAGAAATTAAATAATAGCAAGTACATTTATTTATAGTATAATGTAGTTATATTTATTTGCCATCAAAATAAACTGCAAATGACAGACAACTAAAATAGCAATAGCATTTAGACTTATATACTGATTCACAGTGCTTTACAGCCCTCTCTAAGTGGTTTACAGAGTCAGCATATTCCCCCAACAATCTGGGTCCTCATTTTACCCACCTCAGAAAGATAGAAAGAAGACATTAAAACAGCCAATGTTTTTTTTACAAAAANATTAGGAAGCTTATAGAGTGCTCCTGGGGGCTGGGGGGGGTGGGCCAAAATTGAGCAAAAAACAGCCGCTTTTTGCTCATTTCTTCCCTTCCCAGCTCCCAGGAGCTCTCTGAAAGCCTCCTACAAGCTATGCACGACCATTTTAATGAAGGGGCGGGGTTTCAGGAGGCAAAAAATGCTGTATTCAGTGTATAAGATGCACCTAGATTTTCAGCCTCTTTTTGAGGGAAAAAGGTGTGTCTTATACTCTGAAAAATACGGTATTTTAACATAGATTAATCAGTTTAAACCACAGGTATCAAACTCAATCGCATCATGCGTGACTGAAACTAAAACCATCCCACTCCCATCTGTGGAAAACCTGTCTTCCACAAAACTGGTCCCTGATACCAAAAAGATTGGGGACCGCTGGTCTAAAACAGGGGTGTCAAACTCGATTTCATTGAGGGTCGCATCAGGGTTGTGTTTGACCTAAGGGGGCCAGGTGGGCATGGCCAGGGTGGGTGTGGCCAAGGTGGATGTGGCTGTTTTCACTGGCAGAGGGCTGCAGGAGGCTGTCGCAGCTGAAAACGGACCTCAGGAGGGCTATGTGTGGCCGTCTTGAGCTCCGTTTTCACTGGCAGAGGCACTGTGGGCCAGTCCTTTGCTGTTTCCAGAGCAGCCCCGTGGGCCAGATCTAAGCACCCCATGGGCCTGATTCGGCCTCCAGGCCTTCAGTTTGATACCCCCGGTCTACAATATTCAAAGAATATGTTTAATCTTTGAAAGTTATATCACATTGTTAACAAGATAGTGAACTATTGCACAATTTATGCTAAGCCTTGAGTTTTTATATAGCTTACTAAGTAAACTAGAAGTGACTGGGTTTCTAGAAATTTACCACCGTGGACTACTGAGAAGGTGAATTGGACAAGTATATACACTGTATCTCAGGAAAGAAGTGAAATAATTTGCATTTTTTTTTAACACAATGATACCTTGAACAGTTTTTCCTAAGTAATCTCCGTGCCTTTCTTTATTGATGACATGTTGGTAGATCTTTCCAGTAGTGATGTTATTGTCCTTGTAAAGGCTAATATCTAAGAATCTTTCATAGTTTCCCAAGTCTAGATCAACTTCTCCACCATCGTTTAGTACAAAAACTTCACCTAAACAAAACAAAGCAGTGATTGTGAAAAATATGAAATACTTGGCAAAATTTGCTATATTGCATTTTTACTAAGATACAATAGATGTTCTACTAAATAGTACTCTTTAATAGTAGGAATAGAAAATTAATAAAATTTCTAGGGTAATTTTTGCTTATAAACATGAAGTCAGAGTAGTAGATTTACTATTTACATGTATAATCATATATACACACAGAGTGAATATCTATGGTGTATATACAGTACAGTACATATACAGTAATATATGTCATGTAGTACAATCATAAATATATTTAGTCAAAGGTATATATTGCTTAATTAAATGAACACACTTTTAATAAGAATGCTTGTGACTGAAATCTAAATATCTATAGAGATTCTCAGTCCTCTAGGTCATGGTTGTCTCAAAGGTGCTTTTTCAATAGGCAACTGGACTTTCTGGTTTTTCTTTGAAGACATTTCACTTCTCATCCAAGAAGCTTATTCAGCTCTGACTGGATGGTGGGAAATAGAAGGGTTTATGCTCTTTGCAAACATTTGTATTCTTTTAGCGAGTTGTTAAGGTCACTTGGAGGTTTATCTGTGTCATCAGGGTCATCTGAGTAGTGCAAATGGGTGTGGAGTCTTCTTGGAACTGTTGAAAGGACTGTGTTGTAAATTGGAGATAGATGAAGATAGATCCCTCCCCCTCCATTAAGAGAGGGGTGTTTGTTGAATACTAGCGCGGAAACATACGCGCGGAATAGGACTCCTTTTATGA